CCACCTCCAACCCAGCCACTGGCAAATGGTCTGGAAAACCAACAGAGGATTAGCCAAGTGCTTCCATGTGGGAGATCCAGAGGAAGCTCCTGGCTCCTGGCTGAGCACCAGCCTAGCTCAGCGCATATCATTTGCCCTTTTTTGGGGGGGAGGGGATGTTAAAGATTTTTTTTAATTGGAAAGTCAGATATACAGAGAGGAGGAGAGACAGAGAAGAAGATCTTCCGTCCGATGATTAACTCCCCAAGTAACCGCAATGGCCAGAGCTGAACCCATCCGAAGATAGGAGCCAGGAGCCTCTTCCGGATCTCCCACGTGGTACAGGGTTCCAAAGCTTTGGGCCATCCTCGACTGCTTTTCCAGACCACAAGCACAAAGCTGGATGGGAAGCAGGACCTCTGGGACACGAAGCAGCACCCATATGGGATCATGGCATGTGCAAGATGAGGACTTTAGCCACTAGGCTATTGTGCTGGGCCCTATCATCTGCCTTTTAAATAAAAAAAATAGGCCAGCCCAGGGGCCAAGGGGCCAGGGGCTGGCATGCTACCGGAAGATCAGACATGGGCCCATGCCGGCATGGGAGCTGTGGATTGCTGAGGGAAGGGGGCTTGGGAATGTCTGGGCGTGGAAGCTTTACAGGAGTACTTTACAGGTGTGGAATGACTTCTCGGGGATTCCAAGCACCACACACTCAGCGAGACTACAAGTGTTTCTCTGCTTTGGGGTAGATCGGGCAGAGCGAAGCTGGAGCACCACAGATGTGTAAGAGAGCCAGTCGGAATGTCAGGCGGACCAGACTAGTCTGTTGCACATACCACCACATGCAGGAACCAGGGCTGGGGGTAGGCCTGGTAGAGATTTGGGGGGTTGCCCTGGCTAGGCTGTAGTTCCCATTGGTGTTGCATTGGGGCCAGGTTTGTGGGGGGCTGGGTTGGACTAGGCCATAACACCCATCGGTTTGCGTAAGACACATGGCTTGGGATGGAGCTGACCAAACAACTGCATTCACTGATGTGTGTGTAAGCTGATGAGAGTGATGGACTGAACTGGACCCCTTACCAGCTGGTGCACACAAGTGTCAAGCCTGGGGTCACCCTAGGTGATGTTTCTTGCAGTACTCCTCAAATTCCTCCAGCCACAGGGAAAATCACAAGAGATGGTGGTTCTATCTGGAGTGCATGTATTGGGACTGGGCCTCCTCAGGAGCTGAGGCCTGTGCGGTGGACAGCATGCCCAGATGTACACGGGGTACACCACAGCATCTAGGTCAACAGAGGATATCAAGTGCCTCATCAGAAGATGGAAGGCAGAACAGATTGGACTACTCTCCTGGCCAAGCTTTGCAACAGGTTCCTGGGTCTGCAGATACACTAAGGTGGACTTGGTCAGCCAAGAGACCTTGAAAATCTTTCTTCAACCCTGGTGCAATGAAGCTGACGCCATTTCAGAGCTATCAAAATCACCGAAGTAACATGGTCAGAGCATTCTTCCTCACACTGGGGTCTCTAAGATGACATCAAGTGGCCATCCCCAATCCTCGAGTGCTGATGTAATCTGCACCAAGGAACAACCCCCCACCCCACACAGGAGAAAATGAAAACAATTCAGAACAATAGATCCACCCGCCTTCCTTCATGCCTCAACCTTCCCTGTCCTGATCAATGACTCACATGGACATACATCTTTCTCAACTATGTAAACACCTAAAAACAAACAATCCTTTAAAATAAGGCTAAGCAAAATGTTTACAATTATTTGACAGGAGAAGACTTGCTACTCTACTTTTAAAAAACTATGCTTGCGGCCCTGCGTGATAGCGTAATGGTTAAGGTCCTCGCCTTGAACACGCCAGGATCATCACATCTGCCTTCCCAATAAAATAAATAAACCTTATAAAAAAAAAAACAACTATGCTTGCACAAGACACACCTTTGACAAGCACACAGGCACCCAGATACAGCAAAACCACGGACGTGGTCACGGGAACGTGACTGGCAGCTGTCACCAGCTCACCCCCAGTGACGAGAGCAGCCTCACTAACCCACGGGTGTCTCACCCCAACCAGCCGAAACCAAGGTCAGGATTTTCCTACTCGTCACCGATTTATCTCAGAGACAAAAATGCAGATGGCATTCACTGGTCTATACCCCAGCTGCCTGCCACAGGCCGCAGCCAGGAGCCAGGACTCGGGCCCAGCTATCCCAGTGCACGACAGAAGCCCTGCGGCCTTCCAGGCTCAGGTACTGAAGCCAGCCACTTGACTGCAGCAGGAAAACATGTCAAAGGCAAGGCCTGACGCCCACCCCTTCCTCAGCATTCTGGATTCCTGGGAGAGACTTCAGCGAAACAAGCTATTCCTACTTTCCAATTTATTAACATACAGTGAGTCATCTCAAAGTTTAGGGAAATGTGGGTTATGAATAAATTGTGCCTGAATTTCAAAGCCTTTTATGCTACAATCAAGTGACCTTCTAATCCTGTTCTCTGTTAGCTCCTCCAAGTCCCTACTCAGGTGGAGAAATGAACTGGCCCACTGAGGCGTCGCCCTGCGCGCGCTGAGGTGTCGCCCTGCGCGCACTAGACCGTCCTTGGAGCACCACTTCCTCCTGGACAGACAGAACAGACTGCTGGGTGTGCCCCTGAGACGGGCACCTCAGGTGGGCCACAGCATGGAGAAACGAATGCACACAGACCTGCTAGGAAGCAAAGATCCGGGCCAAGGATCAAAAGCTAGTATGCGTCTGCTCACGCTGAGGGCGCGGGGGCAGGCATTCAACCCAGTCCGTAAGAGGCTGGTGAAGACAGCTCGGCCTGCAACCCCGAGAGAGAGCAGGACTGGGCTCCTCCCACCCACATGGGAGATCCAGGGTCAGGTCCCAGCTCTGGGCTTGGCAAGCAGCTGGAGAGTGAACCAAATGATGGCGGTGCACTCTCGCTGCCTCTCAAATAAAAAAAAAAAACATATTATTTCGGCCCGGCGCGATAGCATATTGGTTAAAGCAGTTGAGGATGGCCCAAAGCCTTGGGACCCTGCACCTGTGTGGGAGACCCAGAAAGAAGTTCCTGGCTCCTGGCTTCAGATCGGCACAGCACCAGCTGTTGCAGCCACTTAGGGAGTGACTCATCGGACGAAGATTTTCCTCTCAGTCTCTCCTCCTCTCTGTACATCTGCCTTTCCAATAAAATAATACATAAATCTTAAAAAAAAAAAAAAAACGTATTCTTAAATGACAAAGACAAAACCAAATGCAGTGCTATACCTGCTTCCTATGTTACTATGGAAATGCTATACAGAAACTCCCGCCATAACTTGTTACTTCAATAATTAACATTCATGCATTTATTGAAATTAAAAAATCATTGAACATATGCCTATAGCTTGGTTCACTGCTGCATTCTGTGCACTAGCAAAGTACAGAAACCAACACAGCGCATGCACAGATTGCTATAAACCTGAAAAAAAAGAACCAATCAACTCTCAAATACAGAGAATGTAAGAGGAGTGCCAATGTCCCCAACAGGGAAAACAGGATGCAGTGCTGGTATCGGGTAAGAAACCCTGCAGGAATCCCAAAGAAAACAAACGCTGGGGGGAGGGCAGGAGGTTCTGGGGGACCCTGGCAGCTCGGTTGACAGACCACCACAACGACAGCAAGGCCTCTCACGGTAGACCTGTCCACTTCCTCGTAGGTTCGAGCCGTGTGGCTCCCTTACTAGACGCACACAGTTCTAAAAGGGTTGGGCTATTTTCTTCTCACCTACTTCTGTTAGCACACAAGGAGAGGATGGTGCACGCTAAGCCTCCACTTATGGAGCTGGCATCCCAAACGGGCACCGGTTCCTGGCTGACCCACTTCTCATCCAGCTCCCTGCTAATGCGCCTGGGAAAGCAATGGAGCAGGCCTCTGCCGTCTCCCCTGGCCGCAGCCAGCTCCAACCACAATCCCGAGGCTCCATGTTCCAAGCGCCAACAACCAAAGGGTTTCAGGGATAATAAAAAACAAACAAAAAATCCACAATCTCGTTTTGCACATGTATGGTCTACTGAACACACACGCCGCAGTCAGCCCTTCTCCCAGGCTGCCTCCAACGGCCACGCCACTGGCCAGGGTTCTAATTAACCATCCCCAGCTCGACCTCGAACCCTGCTCACTCAGTTCTTCATCACACTCTTCTCCACCCGCCGCTAGTCATGCCCTGGCACACACGACCGCGACCAATACAGCCTTGGCAGGGATGCAGGCTCACCTGGCAGGCACCCAGCCCACCGCTGAGAAAGCAGCCCGGCCCCATTAACAGGTCTTTATCTCTACCGAGGAGAACCTGGACCCAGACTCAGATGCCTCACTCCCGGATAACCCAAAACCCTTGGCATCCTGAGCCAGGAAGACGGTGGGCAGACGAGGGTCTCCCCCAAAGTCTTTAAAGGGCCCCTCACCAAGTCACGCCCCGGCCCTTCTTCCTGACTCTGCTGCGGGCACCGTTCCACGGCTGATAATACATGCCGGACTGCAGACACTCAGATTCTGTAAGTGAAATATAAACCACCCCTGGGCTGCCCCCAACCCAAAAACCAAGCGAAGCGCCGCTCCTGCCTGCAAGGGACCCTCATAGTTCACGATTCCCAAACATTTCAGTTCACTTTCTTCCCTTCCGACAGGCCCTTGGAAAAGCAACTGTGAGACGCCTCCACACTAACTTCTCCATGGGCAGCCCCGGGCACAGGTGCCCATCCGGGAGGCCCCAGGGATGCAGGCCAGAGCAGGGAGTCGGGGAAGGAGCACAGACCCTATCCGCAGTCCCTGGTGCAAGCCAGATTATCACGGGGCGGGGAAAAGGGAGGTGGCTGCTCACGTCCCCTCCCGGCGACCCGCCAGGCCACCCCTAAAGCAACCCCCCTCTTCCCGCAACTAACTCTCCGGGGACAGGGGGTCACCTCCGGAGTCTTCGCCCCGAGACCCCCCTCATCTCCCCTCAGAACCCGCGGTGGCCCTCACCGGACTTGGGCGGGTAGCGGTACACTGAATTGCACGGGATGTCCACCTCCTCGACGCCCGCGTGCTGCCGGCTCGTCAGGGCCCCCATGGCGGCGGCAGCAGCAGCTGCGGCTGCGACTATCGGGCCGGCCCGGCAGCCCCTAGGCGCCTCAGCGCGGCCGCCCGTCCCGCGCCCCGTGCGGGGGTCGGCTGCGGGCCGCGAGCGCCGGGGCTGCGGCCGGCGGGGCTGAGGCGCTGCGGCTGCGGCTGTGGCGGCGGGGTGTCCCCGGCGCAGCCGGCACCATCCTCCGCCGGCGCCGCTGCTGAGGGGGGCTGCGGGACCGGGCCGGGGGCGCCGCCGCCGCCTCAGGCCGCGTGATGTCAGCGGCGGCTGGAGCGCGGGGACCGCGGCCGCCTCACCAATGGCGAGGCGGGGCGGGAGCGGCCGCGCCGCGCCGGCCAATGGGCTGCGAGCTGCGGCAGGAGCCGGCGGCGCGTGCGGCGCGCGAGCAGCCGGGGCCCCGGGGCTGGCGGAGCGGGGCTGCCGGGGTCGTTCCCTCGCGGCGCCCCTGCTCGGGAACAGTCCCTCTGGAGGCCCGCCATTGTCCCAGAGCTCGGAGTGCGCGTCTGCCCGCGCAGCTTCCCGGCCTGGACGGGGCCCCACTCCTGGGCATCTTTGGGGCTAGTCGCCAGCCCCCGCTGCGCATAGCCAAGGGGGAGGCGAGCAGAGGGGACACCCGGGGCTCCTCCTCGCCGAGTCGGCGATTCCAGGGGCTGCAGACGCGACCAGCATCTCTGGCGTCCTCGCATCTACGCTCCTCCCGCCCCCCCCATCCCGGGGACCGGCGAGCCAGGTGGTCGCCTAGGAAGACATTCCCTCGCTCCGGAGCTTCCAGAGAACTTGGCATGCGCGTGGGTGCCCACACCCACCCCCGGACAGCACGGCTAGCCCCCCAGCTAGGAAAGCACTGGACGCTCCGCCTGCCCCGGCGCCTTGGAGGGGCCTGACCTGGCCTGCCAGCCGGGCGGGGAAGCCGGCAGCCCCTGGAGAACATGCACAGAGGCCTCAGGCGGCCAGGGGTGAACCAGAATATCACTGCACAGCTTAATTACAGTTTTTATTTTCAAGCTTTTATTTCATTTGTGGGTCTTGTTGTTTTATGTCACACACACACACACACACACACACACACTGGATGTCCTGATCAGCAGGCCTTGCAGTTGCCAGCACGTGTCTTCCACAGTTTATCAATGTCGGGGGGGCCTAGGTGGCCAGGCCTGTCGCCTGGGTGTGTGAAGCTAGTTGGTGAAGCACCACTGCTTTCTGGTAATAGTGTTCGCTTTTCCCCACGCCCTTCCCTCAAGTAGTCAGCACACCTGCGATGCGGCACTGGGAGATACTGGGCAGCTCTGTAGCCTTAGCATCCCAGCTCTGCTTGGAAGCCCTGGCTCTGCCTGCCTTCGCTGCTCCCTAAAAGCTTTGTTCCTTTCCTAAGTTTATGGGAACCTGCGGTTTTCCTCCTCCTAGCCGAGGTCAGTCCTGCTGGCTGCACCAGTTCCCACAGCCACCTGCATGTCCACCTGGGCAACCGGCTTGTCCCGGTCCAGCCCTGGAGAACTCCGCACCAACTCAGAAATTAGCCCATCTCCCTCGGAGGAGTGGCGACTCCCAGGCTAGGAGAGTCACACCCACGGTGTTAGTGGGCACCTTGGGGCACTCTACATGTGATAAACTGTTGGACATAGCTACCCTGTGAAGTGTCCACTGTTGATACCAACACTTGACAGTTTAAGAAACCAAGGCAGTAAGCATACAAGACCTGGAGTTGGACAAATCCAAACCCTCTGTGGTTATCTGACTTTACACTAAGCCCTTAGAATTTACATCTCGGTAAACCTGTGTGGGAAAATAGCATGGCCCCTACTGATCATGGCCAAAATGCAATCAGTGAGTCATTATTTTAAAAAATATTTTAAATTTATTTTTATTTGAAAGGCAGAGTTACAGAGAAAAGGAGAGACAGAGAAAGCTTTTCCATCCCCTGTTTCATTCCCCAAATGGCCACAATGGTCAAAGCTGAGCCTATCCAAAGCCAGGAGCCAGGAGTTTCTCCTAGGTCTCCTATACTGGTGCAGGGGCCCAAGGACTTTAGCCATCCTTTGCTGCTTTCCTAGGCTATAACCAAGGAATTGGGTCAGAAGTGGAACATCCAAGACACAAACTAGTGTCCATGTAGCCTACAGGTGGAAAGTTAGCCTATTATGCCACTGTGCCAGTCCAAGATCTGGTACTTGAAAGAAAAGTTACATAGCAGCTGGCATTGTGGCATAGCAAATTAATCCTCCACCTGCAACACTGGACTTGGCACGCCACGTGGACAATCAGTTGGAGTCCTGGTTGTCTCACTTCCCATCTAATTCCTTGCAAATGGAAAAGCCCAAGGCCTTGGGCACCTGCCCCCACATGAGCAACCCAGAAGAAGCTCCTGGTGCCAGACCAGTTCAGCTTCAGCCGTTGCACCATTTAGGGAGTAAACTAGCAGGTGGAAGATTCTCTCTCTCTCTCTCTTTCTCAATCTACCTCTGTAACTGCCTTTCAAATAAGTAAATACACCTTTAAAAAAAATCTGGCCAGAGGCAGAAAAGGATAGATAGAAGAGATAGAGAATGGTTTAGACAAACTTGTATATCCAAGAGTCCCACAGTCTGCAGTGTAATCCCCTAGTACCGTGGCACCAGCACCCAGAGTAAGGAGAGGATCAGCAGCCATCTCAGGATGGGTGTGGAAGTGGGCCAGGCCTGTGTTGCCCTCTGCTCCTGTTCTGGCTCCACCTTGCTTTTGCCAGGGAGCTGGGCTGGAGCGAGTGCCCGACGGAGCAGAAGGCACAGTGGAGAGGCAGAAGTGGCTGCAGTAGAGAGCGCCGTCAAAATGCTTCTCACTTGAGAAGCAGCCTGGGGTGGGAGTTGGGGGTGTGTGAAGTGAGGGGCGGGGCTTGCGCTGTGTACACATGCAAATTACATGCAAAGAGTGGGGACAGCCTCAGGGTTTCGTTTCCGCGGGAGCCTGGCCCAGGCTCCTTAGGACAGTTCACAGGTGAAAGGTGGGCTGCTCCCTGGCGAGAAGGAAGCCGATGCCTTGGGGGTCAGAGGGCCCAGGGATGGAAAGATGGGAGCCCTTGCTTTCCTGCACCAGCTCCCGGAGATGGGTCCGATCAGCCGGATTCCTGTCTCCACCCTTGGCCTGTGGCCTGGGTGGATGAAAGCCAACCCCCCAGCAGAGTTTCACATCCTGCTTCAGATCCGCGGCGAGGCCTGACGCGCCTCCGCTCCTCCGAGGGGGGTCTGCGCCAACCTGTTTGGGGACCCCCGTGCCGGTTCCTCCGGCAACGCGGAGCTTGCTGCACGCAGGAAGCTGGCCCCGCCTGCGCGGAAGTCAGCGATCCGGCCTGCATATTCGGCCACTCGGTGGGATGTGAGGCCTTCATTGTCCACCTCGGCCTCAGCTGTGGGCCCCTAACAAAGGGGAACTGTTTGGAAGGCAGAGCTCAGCTGGGGTGGCAGCTTCCGACTCTGCTTTCGAGTGAAGAGCCAAATGAAAGGCCACGTCTACACTGCCCACTCCTGGTTCCGGCTCTGCTTCCCCGGGCATCAGGCGCGTGGAGGCATGAGGGGGCTGGGTTTGTAATTGGAAAATCCTTCCATGTGGGCCCTTCCCGCTCCTGTCTGTCCTGGGTGATGCCCACTTGCTACACTCGTGGGTTGTCCATGAGGCCTCTGAGAGCCACAGCCCACACAACTGTTGTTATTTCAAGAAACCTGTCCACGCGTTGCTGCGTGAGTGGTTCATTCAGGTCTGACATGCACACTGCCCCCAGCCTTTTCAAACGCCAAGAGCATTTTAAGATCCAGGCATCAAACACAAGATTCAAACCTAACTCTTCCCGAGCCATGTATGCTGAGAAAAGTGCCTGAATCTCTGAGACTTAGTTTCTCATCTGCAAAGGCCTAGCACAGTCCCTGGCACACAGCAGGAGCTCAGCAGATAGAGAAACAGAGAGGAGAGGGGGAGAGACAACATCCGTCTACTGGCTCACTCCTCAGATGGCTGCAAGGGGCAGGGCAGGGCCAGCTGAAGCCAAGAGCCATCTTGCACTGCTTTCCTAGAGAGCTCTTAGTGGGGAGCTGCATCAAAAGCCAGGACTGGACTGGCGCTTGTATGAGGTGCCAGCATCAAAGGCAGCAGCAGCTTTAACCCACTGTGCCACAACACTGTCCCCGATGATAAATTTTTAAAATAATTTCTTTTTTACAAAGAAAACAAACAAAAAAAGTCTGACCCTGGATGTGAAGTGGGAGATGTGGCCGTGAGTCAGACATTGTCTGTCCTGGTTAGCTTCTCACCTGTGTGGCATTTGCTAGCTAGACAAATGAACTGGAGCCTGCTCTCCCAGGCACCATTGGTCAGGACTTTTGCCAGTTGGTTGTTAACACTGATGGCAGCTTGCAATTGGCCATGATGGGCAGATTAATACCACAGAAACCACCCAGGGTTCTTAATCAGTCCCCAGAGCCAGGTTACCAGCTTGCTTCTGGCCCCATGTCCCTTCCGGTCTCCCAGGATGGGATCTGATGTCTTCTTGTAGCATGTATTCACTAAATAGACAACTACTAGGGCTGGTGTAATGGTTCAACTGGCTAATCTTCCACCTCCAAGCACCAGGATCCTATGTGGCTGACAGTTCGAGACCAGGCTGCTCCACTTCCCATCCAATTCCCAACTGTGGCTTGGGAAAGCAATGGAGGATGGCCCAAAGGCTTGAAACCCTGATCCCATTGTGGGAGACCTAGAAGAACTTTCTGGTTCCTGGCTTTGGATTGGTTCAGCTCTGTCCATTTGAGGCCATTTGGGGATTGAACCAGCAAATCTCTCTGTCTCTCCTTCTCTCTCTAAATCTGCCTTTCCAATGAAAATAAATAAGTGTTTAAAAAATAAAGTAAGTAAACAACTATTTGTGTGTTGTAAATAATCATTTTACATGGATAACAAATTTATCCATGATAAATGGATCCAGCTGAGCCTGGCTGAAACATTTATCCTGTCTTCCACATGGGCAGCGGCAGT